GCACAAATGAAAGATAATTGATGGGCCTTTCAACATCACCAACGCTGAGAGATAAATTACCACTAAATACAAAACAGGGCTCCCTTTTATCTGAGTAATTGAAATTGTCAAATTTGAAGAGGTCCGAACTTTTTATTATCTAACCATGTTCTAGACCGACTGCGATGCTGAAATTTGGTATGGTTGATCATGACAAGACTGTTAAGTTAGCATATCCAACAAAACTGGCATTTGTCACTTAATTTAGCTAAAATTCTTGGTGGCGATTCTTCCAAGTGAATTGCAGGCCACATGGGGTGACTTTGCCACCATGTTATCAATGCAAAAATGAAATACTTATCCGATGCAATTCAAAATAAGTTATAACTATAGCATCATTTTGATCTCCAAACTGGTGTTTTAAAACGTAAAAGTTTATATGTTGAGCATTAACACAGTAATGCACAGTGGGAGTATATAAAGGCAAAAATTACCAAAATAAAAACATGGATGAAGCTGGGCCCAACTTTTCAGCACAGCCATGATCATCTACAACTCCTGAGTTTGCCAGTAAGACTGGCTAAAGAAATCTGTATCATTCTATAGATCAAAATGCTGATATAATAAGGGTGTCGGTATGTTCCCGCAAGAACGTCCTCTTTCTGTTCCTCTTAATGCCTCTGGAAAAAAGCGGCAAGGTCCTAGAGTACCGATACAATAAAATCTTTGCTTATTAATCTATTCTGAACCATTTTCAGTTTCTATTTACTATCAAATCTCAATTACTTTCAAAATTTATAATAAAAAGTAGGGCATCTTTCCTTTTTTTGTACATCGTTTAAGAGAAATAAAAACTCGAATTGCTTTATTTTGTCCTATTAAACAATTAAGGATGGTTGCCCTTCCTCATACAATGGAACAAAAATGCTTGAAAAGTATTTGTTAGCGTTATAAGCATAGTGGCAAAGTCACCCCTTTTTCAGTTTAACTTTGCCACGACTCATTTTCCTTTAAAAAAAAAATATTTTTAGGCAAGATAAAAGTACGATAATAGCAGAACCCAAAGAGCTAATCTTTATCCGTGTTTTGAACATAGAGTCATCCCAATAAGTTAACAAGTTTAAAAAATACAAGCGTCTAAAGTTGAAAACATGGCAAAGTCACCCCCGTTTACGGTACGTATTTGACATCGTACACCAATATGAATAGCACCATCGTGTTCTTGAGCTCAAGCCGCATCTGATAGACATTTTTTGTTGTTGAAAAATTTCAACTTTAAAAATTTGACCTTTTTTGACCTGAAAGTGGCCAGACCTTAGCTAAATTCAACTCAAAATGACCTCGAATGACATAAACGACATCGCATTCGAAATCTATGGCCTATATGGACCATAACACATGTGTCACGTGACCAAGCATGATATCAAGATTTCCGTGACCTGTAGTGTTCAGGATGACCTGACCCTGACCCGAAAATCAAAGTACAAGCTTGGTACCCTCAGGGTATCTAAAAAGAATCTGTTCACGACTTTGCAAACCAAAAAATGAGCCTGATCTGACTTGTAAGACGGCGGCCAGAGCCCAAAATGTGAACAAGCTAAACATCGATAATTTCTACTTTGACCTGACCTGTGACGTCATCAGTGACCTCGAGGTCAATGAACTTAGGTTTTGCTCAACTGTTTTTTTCGGGGCTATCAGACGCCGTTTGAATTTTGACGATCAGCCCAGTCAAGGGCGCACACAAGGGGGGCACACGGGCCCGTGCCCCCCCCCATTCGAGTTGGGGGGGCCCAACTCGAAGGAAGGGGCCCATTTGAGGCGGCCGAAGGCGGGCCTCTAACTAATCCTTAGACCACCGAAGACCGTGTACAAAGGGCCCTCAAATGGCCTTAAAGGGCCCCCAGATGGTCTCAAAAGGCCCTCAGATGGCCTCGAAGGGCCCTCACTTAGCGTCATAGGACCCTCATCTGGTGTCAAAGGGCCCTCAGATGGCCTTAAGGAGCCCTCAGATGACCTCAAAGGACTCTCAGATGGCCTTAAAGGGCCCTCAGATAGCCTCAAAGGGCCCTCAGCTAACGTCAAACGGACGTCAGAAGGCCTTAAAGGGTGTCAAAGGTCCCTGAGCTGGCGTCAGAGGGCCATGCCCTTGCGTCGAACGGCTCTCCGAAGGCTCTAAAGAGTCCTTTGCTGGTGACAGAGGGCCCCCAGCTGGTGCCAGATGGCCCCCAGCTGGCGCCAAATGGCCATCAGAAGGTCTCAAACGGTCCTCAGCTGGCGTCAAGCGGCCCTCAAAAAGCCTCAAGAGGCCCTTAGAAAACCTAAAGGGGCCCTTAGAAGACCTCAAGGGCCCTCAGAAGGCCTTAAAGAGCGTCAAAGGACCTTGAGCTAGCGTCAGAGGGCCCCCCAGCTAATGCCAGAGGGCCCTGAGCTAGCGTCAAACTTAAAGTGCCCTTAGCTGGTGTCAGAGGGCCCCAGTTGGTGTCAGAGGGTCATCCATTGGCGTCTAATGGCCATCAGAAGGCCCAAAAACACGATCCTCAGCTGGCTTCCAGCGGTCCTCAGCTGACGTCAAGAGGCCCTCAAAAGGCCTCAAAGGTCCCTCGACTGCTCAAAGGGCCCTTAGAAGGCCTCAATGGGAGCTCAAGAGACGTTAAACGGCCCTCAAAAGGCTTGAAAGGGCCCCCTGCTGATGGCAAAGGGCTCGCACCTGAGTCAATAAGAATAAGAGCCTTGTCAAAAAACGGACCTGAGAAACCTTGCCGGCCCTTCTGCGGGACTCCTACACTTACCTGAGTGGCCCCCGTTTACTGAGGGGCCCTGGTTATTGATGGGGTTCCTCGTTACTTAACGCCTGGTTACCAGAGGGGCCCATGGTTACCTGGTGGGCCCCTGATCAATTGAAAACCCCTGGTCATCTGAAACGCCCCTGATTACCTAAAGGGTCCCTAATCACTTGGATTCAGTGACATAGCAAGGGAGCGAGGGGGTACGTGCCCGTTCTCGGGTTTAGGGTTCCTTCAAAACCGAGGGGCCCTGCGGCGCCAGTTGGTAGCAGAGGGTTCGCGCTGGCCGCACTTCAACTCGAAAGGACACCACAGGGCTTGTGGGGGCACGTTATTGGCTCCTATGTAGCCACAATTATCTTCATAAAGGCCCAATGCCGGTTTCTGAGAGACCTCGCCGGCCGCTCAGGGCCCTAGTAACGGCCAACGAGGGATTGGCTGCTAATGGCTCCACATCCGTCTGTGATAGACACACGGTCCACACCAGTGTTTCTAAAGGCACCCACAACGGCAACTGCGAGGCCCCTCGCCCCACCTCCAAGGGACCCCCACCAGCGCATCTTAAGGGCCTACATCGGCGGCTCTGAGAGTCCCCACACCGACGCCTCTGAGGGCCACGTACCAGTGACTCTGAGGGCCTCTTACCAGCCTCCGAGTGTCCTTGCCAGCCTATGATGGGCCACTTTCCACTTGCAGGCCATTTTGCAGGGCCACACACATGCCAATGATGGCCCCACCAGTGTCTCTAAGCCCTAAGACCCCGCAACGGCGCCTGTGAGGACCCAACACCAGCGCATCTGACGGCCTTTCACTGGCACCTCTGAGCGCGCCACACACCGGTGACTCTGAGGAGCTCGCTCGCTTCGCTCGCTCGTAAAATACCATGTAAATTAGGCATTAGTGTACATTAGGCACACTCCTCGGGCATAAATGATACTTTTGCTTGCCGATTTTCCACATTTTCTCATGCAAAGACCGTTTTAAAGAGACCCGTCTGCCAGTGAGACTGGACCCACCGTGCCTTCCTCCTCCCATCGAAAGGTCCTGGATACATGCTGACCCCGGGCCACCGGGTGACTCGCGGGCCCGGGGTCCGCGAAAAAAAACATGCTAAAAAACATGCTAGCGTAAAAATATATATGTTTTGAAAATTAAGCTGGTACCGAAATAATTGTTTTACCTACCATGCAATGACAAACCAATTGCTCAAGCTTCAAACCAACCGAAATATAGCCCCGTGGGCCGTATTTTTTTTGGGGGGGCCTTCGACATGGGGGGTCCAGTTCGAAGGTCGTGCCCCCCCCCCATTCAAAAATCCTGTGTGCGCGCCTGAGCCCAGTAGTTTCGGAGTTAAGAGGGGGGCTATGATTGAATACCCCCCCCCCCCGTATACGGTAGGCGATCCGGCCGGTGTAGCCTCGCGAAACCTCAAAGACACTTTTTTCCAAAAATTGGAAAACAACAGAGAATTGGAAAGCAAAGAAGCGCACCGGATGCTCTGGAGGGGCGTCATTGGGCTTGAATGGGGCGACTTCAGTCTCAAGCGGGACGACTTCAGTCTCAAGGGGGGTGGGGGGTGCTAGTGGCTCTCGGATAGGGCGACTGTGATCTTGAGAAGAATGCGGGTGCTTTAGAGGGGCGCCAGTGGTTTCAGGGGGCGCCATCGATCTTGGATGGGGCCGAATGGGGCAACTGTGAACTTCAGAGGGGCGCCATCAACCTTTAATGGGGCGACTGTTCCGTTCGGGTGGGTGCCAGCGGCTCTTCAGTGGCGCCATCGACCCTGGGGGTTCGGAATATTCTGGTTTCCGGAGGGGCGCCCTTCAACATTGGGGGGCTCATGTCCTATTTGGGAGGACATGGGAGGCCCATGCCTCCCGGTGTATGTTGAATTGATGGATAGAAAAAGCACATGACTTATTTAAAGTTATCTCGTGACAAAACAGTTGATCCCAGATGCCTGAGATCAGGCACACTTTACTGGCGAATGGCAATTTCGCGTACACAGAGTGAAAAACTATGTCTAGCTACTGTCCACTGGAAAAAATTGACTTTTCACAAAACCGGCCCATACCTCCCGCCTCCCGTCTCTATCCTATCCTACCTACATCACTTGTATGCCAATTCATTAAGTTTTTGAAGGCGGGAGGTCCCCTGAATTGCAGTATTCATTGCTCCGCGACTGACAGTGCAGTTGCGGTGGTGTGGTGGTGCGATGGTGCGGTGGCAGCTCACCCTGTGTGCCGGGAAGTCGGCCTCCTCGAAGGTGAAGTGCTGACCCGTGGCCGGCCGCGGGCCCTCGGCGCCGCCACTCTCCTCCGAATAGCCTTCCATTGCTCCCCAGTGGCCTGTCAACAGTGGATCTGTATCAGATAGGCATATCTCTGATCTTAACTCTCGACCGTATTGGTGTTTTGCCAGCGTCTGGGTCGCACTACTAGGGCTAAACTACGGCTGTCCGGAGCTCGCAGAGCGGACTTGGGCTCTGCCCATGCTCCGACATAGCATGCATGCCCTCTAGACGATGTCTTTGTGTCATACGCCGACTTTAGCTCAAGTCCTAGCCGACTTAAGTCCGAATTAAAAATCTCGGGCAAGCCGCACTTTAGCCTCCTTGAGCCAGCTGAGCCCGGAGTAAAACTGCTGGCTGGATTTATAAGTCAATGGGGAAAAATGAAAACTGTTATTTTAGCGTCCGGAGCGATCTCAAACAATCTCCAGCACACGGAATCGTGATTTTTTGCACTCTTTGCAAGGTTCGATGCTTCACTTGCATTGTTGACCATGCGGGACGACATTTAGGACATCAATAGGGTCAATAGGAGGAAGCCACTGGCGGTCGCAGCCGCTAGCAAGAGGGGGGGGGGGGCAAAGTCACACTCGCGGGACATAACATTTCCCCGTCACCGCGGGGGGGGGGGGTGATAGGCAAGTTCTTACGATGTGCAGCAAAATCTACGCGACGATGCACCGCGCAGTTGGCATTACTTATGCTACGTCTATCCCATGTTTGCGTAAAAGTTTTGAGCTCGGTTTAAGACAAATCACCAGAGGCCAGTTTCACCAACAGAAATATAGTTGCCTGCCGGAATTATTCGCCTAAAGGCCATTTCGAGTACGGTAAAGCCCTATCCGCCCTATAAAGTTAATGGTAAAGCCCTATCCGCTTACGTGCCCATCGCGTTTACGCTCCGTATGTGAAACTGCCTTTAGGCAAAAATATCCGGCAACGGCTATTTTTCTGTTTGTAAAATTGGCCTGGGTTCCATTTACCGTCCCACGGTGTGCCCAACGGACGGACCGCTGCACCATGGCTACGGATCGGTGCTGAATACGAGCATACCGGAAGGTCGGGCACGCGAATTCAGGACCTTACCACCATAAAACAATTCGGAAAAGTGCGAAACCTCTTGCTTTAAACAAACATGTGAAACCCAGAGAGCATTTTCAGACTATGCCATTTACCCATATAGTTGTGTGGCGGCGAGAGAGAGAATATGTGCACCGACCTCTGGAGACTCTTCACAGGTTTTCAAAATTTGCTTCTGAGGGCCGCGCGTAGATTCCTGCGGGGCTTCACAACGGCTCTATTGGGGCTCACTCAACTTGGTGCCAATTTGGTGACCTGGGGGCGCTGACCTGACCGTGACCCGAGGTCAACACCCTAGGTTGACCTCACCCAAACAAAAAGTATATGATTCGACGCGCCTGAGCGACGGCGAACACGATGCTGCCAAAATCGCGGTTCTGCGGCCGTTTTTTGCGAAGTTATTCATCAAAAACTGAACCGTACCTTGGGGCACTTGACCTGACCTCAGAGGTCACCGGTTGACCTAGGACCTTGAACTCGGGTATCAATCTCCGCATCTTGTAACGGCACACGCGCTCGTTTTTTCCGCGACGCGCTAGCTCCACCAGGGGCGAAACGGCGATGGGGGTCGTTATTGCCCCCCCCCCCCCCACCTCGACCGGCGCGTATGTAGAAAACCAATAGGTCCGGCGAGGGATATACAGTATGCAGTGTACAGCTGTATACAGTAGCACCCCGTAGTTAAAAAGTAGTAGGAACTCGTCCATATTCCGTAATATGAACGATAATTGGCAGGCTCACAATCTATCAAAGCATCTCTGTCGTGACGAAAGGAAGGCATTTTAAATAGATCGTAAATTTAGCAAATAACGCTGGCTATCTTTGTTGGTAGGTAATAGGTATGCAATACTGCATTAAGTTTTTTAGTCTTTTGGCGAGGCAAGCCGGTCCCGTGCTCAGTTGGTAGAGCGTTGAACTCCACGTGGTGAGAGCACGCGGTCCCGGTTATAACAGTCCGGGTTCGAAGCGCGACGGGCACTTGACGTTTATATGCCTCCTGACAGGTACCTATGGTTGCGGCTAGTGGCAGGCCGTAGCCAGGCGAAGTCAGTGAGGGGACCGGCCGTGCGCGGCTATGTGCGCACATTAAACTTTGGACTCCAAATTCTGCCATAGAACTGGAATTTGACGATCGGAGGGTAGAGGGCAGGGTCACTGCCAACAACTAACAAGCTTCGCTTAGCGGTGGCTCTGTCCTTGTGAATCCTTCCTATTAAAAGATTCGGACTAAATTTATAAAAAGAAAAAAGAAAAGCTTTCAAGTTCTATCATCTTTCACTGTCGACAGTTAGATTGCTATTGCAAGTGCCTTTAACCCGCGCCGTGCTGGTGGCCTGAACATTCCGCCGAGTGCTGGGGGAAGGGGGCGTTTTCACGCCCCCCCCCCCATCGTCTAACTTGGCTCCTGGGCCATGTAGCCTCGGTGATTTTTAATTTCAGGTCAAAGGTCAGGTCACCAGAGGTCACCAAAGGTCAAATTTAGTCCATTTCAATAATTTTGGAAACTTCCACCGGCTAACTCGGGAACCAATAGAGCTACAGCACCGCGGAAAAGCGCATTCGATAGCCCTTTTACAGACCTTTCTGAATAATGCTCTCAGACCTGACATCAGGTCAACGGTTTAGCCTCTAGAGGGCAAAAACTGTAAAAATAGCCGTTTTCCCGAACAATATTTTTCGGCAATAACTTTTGACTCAAGAGAGTCACGACGTTACTTTTGGCAGCATCATGTTCCTCTTGTCGAGACACGTCGAATGAACTATTCGTTGACCTTGAAAGGTCATTTTTTACCTTAGGTCAAGGTCATGACCTGACCGGAAAGTGTCATGCTGCATATCAGTCGATCCGTATGATCGAGCTGAACACATCTGACGTGTTTTCACCGCAGTGTACCACAATTATATTTTAGCTTGGGTGTCAGAAAGGAAAATTATTCCGTAGACAGGGTGAAGGGAGTGGAAAATTGCCGGTAAGGTAAAGCTAACAACAGATGCGAGGGATAAGAGTGGAGTAAAAACAGATTGATAGCATACATTTTCACACAAAAAAAAATGATACGATATAGCGTTTAATGGAAGCATCGATATATTGTTTAAGACCATGTACGACCATGTACGACCATGCCCTTTGCTTTTGACGTTCGGAGTGGAAAATTTATCTTGAAAGGTTGAGGTGAGAGTGGAAAATGGTCTTCATTTGGATGTCGTTTCACACCCAAATCGATTAATTTTGGGACACTGTTTCACCGCTCTAGCACGTCTCTATCAAACGTTCTGGCCACAAAACTGCTGGCCCCCAGCACAGTGCGGGTTACGCCATGATAAATGTATGGGCCCTTTTCACCGTGCAAGGACCCTTTTCACCATAGGCTCCTTTCACTATGCATGGGCCCTTTTCACCCAGCCCCCGTTCACGAGCTTCAGAATTCCTTTACCGTGACGTCATCACGGCGCATGACTTTTCATTCACCCATAGAAATGCATGCAAAGCATGGTGTGTTTCAGGCGGGCTAGGGAGAAATCTAAGGCCTACATGTGTTCAAAAGACGTACCACTAAGCCAATGGATTCGTCTCATTACGATAAATGGGGTTGAAATCGAAACATTCGGCCTATATTTATCTAAAATGGGCCAATCAAATGGTCCCTGCAACTCATAATGAAGGATTTCCTCTGCGTTAAAAAATTTGTTTCAAGTGTTTTTTCATCAGCGACAGGGGAAATCCTTCATAATTGCTACCAGATTACTACCATATTCCCTCGCATTTCTGTTGCGCATTGCCTCACAAATAAGAGTTTTGTGAAGTTTATATTAATTTAATTGTCACATTTTGACTGATTTTGGCGATTTTCAATTATTTCAACGCAGCATGGATCAGATAGCTCTCGTAGTTTGCTGAAGAATGTGGCTTTTGCTTGGTTATTTTCAAGTTATCTGTGATTTGGTGCGCCGTGATCGTAGCATTATACAAATTATATCAACTTTAAAAATTGAATCAACTTTTGAAGTGAAGTTCACATGAAGAATCAAAAGTTCAAGCATAATAATTGTTCAAACATAATGATGCAACATGTGTCTCCCAGATGGAACTTATATTTCAATTGAAAACTGAAAATGGAAAACAGAAGATGGATCTGCGGAGTTACTTAGATCACAAGGTGCTCTTGATTGTTGGTAATTGAAGATGTTGAGAGAACTTGTGAATCTGCATACCAGTCCTGACTTGCTTGATTGTTTAAAACTATTTTAATTCTCATAATTGTGTAATGTGTAGGTAGTGACTGTGCACAATGCGCAGCACATGTGCGCAGAAATGTGCAGGTGGCTGGTAGGTGGGTTAAACTTCGGAGATGCGAATTTGGATGTCAGTTATAAAATTAATGGTTATGCCTTGTAGAGTAAGCTCTGCTGTTTTTTTTTGTAATTGTCTTTTGTATAATTGTAACCTACAATGCTGTTAGTTTCATTTTTATTAAAATGCTCGACCAGAATTTTCACTTGTTCATGCATGAATGGCTAAGTTTGGGGTGTTAATTCAACCCTGACTGCTCAAGTTTTTCAAAGGCACATGACACAGCATGGCTAGATCAGCTGGTACCTACCTGTTGACTATTTTTGTTTTTGTTGGTGATGTGTTTGCTGTTTGTCTTTTGCAAGGTGGTCAATGAAATAAAATAATGCATTATTTTGGAATGTTTCCTTGACAGAAGCCAGGAGCCGGATTGATGTGTGCTGGTGAATGAGATGGTTCAAAAGCATTATCTGATGTTTTTCAATGTGCATAAGCCATAACATCCCTTTCATACGCTGAAGTTTTAATAGCTTCTCAGTCTCTGTCATTTTCCTGAAATATTGGTGTAGATAAGAGATATCAGTACCTTCTCAGAGGTACCTGCCTTCTGCTGGATGAATATTTAATTGGTTGGACGAAATGGACAGGTAGCCTTATGATAATGTAATGTGAAATCTTATTTCTAT